CGCCCCGGCGCCGCACAAACTCGTTTTAACCATCAGTAACAGGCTCAGGGATGGAAGGGCGAGTCGTTTTCAAAATGGAACTCTCGCCTAAGCGCCGCGCGCACTCGCCCTAAACATCTGCAACAGCGTCGAGGATGCAGGGGGGGCGTTTCTTCAAAATGGCGTTCTCGCGTCAGCGTCGCAGGCTTTCGTTTTGAAGCTATACAAAAGCCACAAGGACTGTGGGAAGGGGTGATGCTCAAAATGTGTCTCTCAAAATAGCGCCGCAAACGCCCGTCGGTAAAGTATGATAAAGTCTGCAGCAGCTTCAATGATGGAGGGCGGTTTCGTTTCAAACTGTGGCTCTCGCCTTAGCGCCGCACACTTCGTCTCAAACATTCGAAACACTTTCGGGAACGAAATAAGTGGTTTTCAATAATATGGAGGTCTGGCCTTAACGCCGCGCGGTCGTTTTAGACTGTTGCGCCAATTTCAGGGATGGAAGGCAGGTCGTTTTCAAAATGGAACTCTCGCTTAAGCGCCGCGCATACTCGCCTCAAACATCTGCAACAACTTCAAGGATGGAGGGTGTCCTTTTCAAAAATGGCGTTCTCGCACAAGCGCCGCGCACATTCGCCTTGACAGTACACAACAGCTTCAGGGGTGGAGGAAGGTTGTTTTCAAAAGGTGGTTGTCGTTCCATCGCCGCACACGTTCGCCTTGAAAGTTCGAAGCAGCTCTCGAGGTTGGGTGGTTTTCAAAGTGGGACTCTAGCCTTAGCGCCGCGCAGTCGTCTTAAATTGTTGCACCAGGCTCATGGATGGAGGACGATCGCTTTCAAAATGGAGCTCTCGCCTGGGCGTCGCGCACACTCGTCTTCAACATCTGCAGCAGCTTCAAGGATGGATGGGGGTCCTTTTCAAATGGCGTTCTCGCGCAAGCGTCGCGCACATCCGCCTAGACAATATACAACAACTTCAAGGCTGGAGTGACTCCTTTTTTTCGAAACGTGGCTCTCGCAATAGCGCCGCGCACGCTCGTCTTAGAAGCTCACAGCAGCTTCAAGGATAATAGAGGGGGGGGGTGGGCTTCATAATATTGCTCGCGCCATAGCGCCGCGCCTCAAACACCTGCATCATATTCAAGCATCGATGGGTGGATAAATTTGAAACTTTGGCTCTCGCCTTCGCGCCGCGCAAACTCGTCTTACAAATCTGGAATATCTTCACAGATGTGAGGCAATCTCTTTTTAAAATGGGCCTTTCGTCTGAGCGCCACGAACATGTTTCAAACCGCGTAACAGCTTCAAATATTCAACACTGGTCGTTTTCAAAGTGCCAGGCGCATTGGTTTTTTCGCCATAATAAGCTTTACTTGAATATTCTTACCGATTTATGAGAAACTCCAGGCGTGGTTGGCCTTGCGCTCCTCGGGTTTCCACAGTCCTGTTTCCTCACATGTCACAAGGGAGTTCCTCGTGGGTTTCCTGGTCGCGTTCCATTGCAAGGGCCTTGGGTTCCCCGATCTTGTTCCATCTTGGTCCTTACATCCCTTCCTCGGGTTCCTGGGCCTTGTTCATCGAGCTCCCTGGTCTTGCTCTTTTCTTGGGATCCTCGGGTTCCCCGATTTTGTCTTTGCTTGGATTCCTCGGGTTCCCCCGTCTGGATTTCTCGTAATCTCCGGGTTCTCAAGTCTTGTCCCTTGCTTTGGTTTCTCGGGTTCCCCAGCATTGCAAAGAAATGCCAGTCAACGCCAATCAATGCAAAGTAATGCCAATCCACGCAGAGCAACGCCACACAATGCCAAGCAGTGCCAAGCAATGCCAAACAACGCCAAAGCCGGGCAATGCCAAGCAACGCCATGCAATACAAAGCGATGCAACGCAGTGCCAAGCAATGCCATGCAGTGGCAAGCAGTGCGCCAATACGGTAGGAAGCTTTCCCCGCATTGGGGTCGCGCTGGCCTCATCTGGCGCAGCGACTCGCAGGATGGAGGACTGGCCCTCTCGAACACCGAAGTCCTCGCTTGGGACTGCGGCAGCTTGGGATACCCCGAACTTCAACGCCTGCAGCGCTGCACGGAGCCAGGGCGGCTCTCTGGCAGGCGTGTGCAGCGACTCCACGGGCGGGGGGCGGCCCTTCCTTCGGAAAGGGGGCCCTCGCTGGACAAGCCGTTGAACTGCAGGACAACTCACTATTCGGCGGTGGGCAAAGCTCCCTTTGGTAGACCTCCCCTCAGCGAGAAAACGGCCGAAGACCGAAACCGACGGACCTGGACCCGCAGAAACGACGGCCGCGACGCCCCCTCGTGAACCGAGAACGGCCAGTTCCATAATCGACGTGTCGGGGCAGGAGGTCTGTAATCGCTTTCCGGAGCACGCGCCAGAAACATGCCAGGCACTTCCTTTCAAGGAGGGGCCCTCGCCAAAACTGCAGGCCTGGCTGTGCTGGTCTTTTAGCGGGCACGCTTTTTGCAGTGAGAGGGACCAGCTGCAGGGGCGTGTGAGGAGGGAGCTTGGGACGAGAGGCTGTAATGCAGCATCGCTGATGCATCTTTGACTTACTCTGGTCCTCCTCCTCCTCCTCCCCCTCCTCCCCCTCCTCCTCCTCCTCCTCCTCCTCCTCCTCCTCCTCCTCCTCCTCCTCCTCCTCCTCCTCCTCCTCCCTGAGGCCTCCAGGGGCGGCACTCCAGGACGATTCGGTTCCCTGCCCGTTCAGGACGCCCCCCCCCCTGTCCAGTCCTCGTGCCTGCCCATCGCCGCCAGCAGCGAGGCCGTGGCGCCCAGGCACGCCCGCGTGTGCGGGTGTGCGGGCCCGAGCGCCCTCTCGCTGCCCTCCAGGGCTCGCCGGTACAGGGAGTGCGCCTC